CATCTGATGATTTTGTGTTTGCTACGTTGAAATTTTTAGATCCAAAACATTCATTACCTATTGACATTATGGGATCTCATATACCAGTAGTTAAGGAAAGGGCAAAATTAGAATTAAGAGATCCTGAAATATATCGTGACAAAGTACCTGATAAGCGGGCATATGGTAACCCTTATAAAAATCCCGACAAAGTAAGTAGATTTTATTTATTTCCCGTGTAAAAAGAAAACATCGGTAGTAATTTATTTATTTATCTTTGAAGTATAAGAAAGCTGTTCAGCAACGTCGAGCTCCAAATATGCCTCCAAAAGAGCGACAAAGATTATTAACGGCTCCTACGGGAATCGTTTTTAATTGTTTAACCGAGAAAGAGATTTTACCTTTTAATATAGTACCCGGAAGACAAATAATTAAACATACCGAAAGTACACGTAAATACTTCGTTGCCAAGAAATCCTTTGGAGGTTGTTCCAGTAGTTAAAATAATAAAATAAATGGCCAGATGCGTATTTATAGCACTAAATCTTTAACGCCGCCACCGACACTCCAAATAATAATGAAATGTCAACGACAAACTTGTCGAATGTTATGGAAATTGATGATGATATACATAATATACCAATACTAGTAAATGAACCCAATGGTGTTTTAACTCCAAATCATGAACAATCTATGATCCAGAAAGTATCATATACTTCATCGGGATCACATTATGATAATCACAATATAATATCCAATGGTATTGATAAGCCGATACTTTGAGTCAGGCATCCATTGAAAAAACTAAAAATTTATTAAATCAGGTGGTTGAACTAACTCTTTAAGAAGAGAGTTGAAGGTGGCAATAAATGGACATTCTAACCAAGCTGAAGAATTATTGTTCAAAAAATCAATAATATCACCGCAGCCCGAGCCTAGTGGATTAGACATTTTGAGTCGGGTAGCTCAGGATATGCTTGGACGACGTGCGAAATTATCTCAAAGAGTAAATCAAAGATTGATTACGTTACAACCAGTAAAAGTCGACGAAAATATATCAAAATTAACATTTGTAATCAAGAAAAAAAATTCAAAGTACAAGAACAGGTATTAAATTTAATTATTATTATTTGTAGGACGATTTTAAACGTACCGATGGTCACATTTTAATTAATTTTTATCTATCAGGTGATGAATCTATTTTCAAGAAATTGTAGAATCGTCAGACTTTTCAAAAGAATCAAAGGCACATTTTGTACTATCAATTCAAAAATATGCTTTAGCGTCTTCAAAGAAGAATTTGTCGAAAAAGTTACAACCTATTGTTGATAATTTACAATCTATTTTAACGAAACGAATAAATTCCCG